ATCCCAACCAACGTTGGTTGCGTTTGTTTCTGCCGTCTTGTCTATCCTCCTGCTACCACATCCTTTTCTCGGTTTTGGTCGGGTCAAAATCAACTTCTTCGAAGAGGTCCCTATTCGGAGCGTTCTGGAGGCTACTTTTTCCTTTACTTGCAACCTTTCTGACGTTTTTTTTCAATTTTTTTTTATTGCAACCTTACTTCGGCCAATGGTAGAATGCAACCTCGAAACCGTTGCGCACGGACTGCCATCGCGTGCATGGCCATATGGATGGCTTGGGCTGCGCTTAAACTCTTGCTCAAGATCATGAAGCTAGTCGAATGCCTTGAATTGTTCCAAAAAAGGAGATATAGAACAGGAGCCACTTATTTATTCGTCAAATTCGCCTTTCCAAACTGGTCACTTGCCTCTGAGAAACAGAAGAGTAAAATGGGCCAGGATGAAGACTGGATCTCGCAGGTAGAGATCTGTTACCTTGTTCCAACCACCTTTCATACAACCTCCTCCCCCCACTCATTCACCTCACTGGCTGTCGAGGCAGTCGCCCAATTTGCTGCAGAGGGAGGCCTCTAGCTACTGTGCTGCACAAATTTTTTGACGAAAGGACGCACACTGCTCAGGGGCTTCAGGCATGATAGGGGAAGCAGGGCGCAGAAGGTTGAGCATGTTCTAGTTCTCTAATGAGGTCGTATTTGACGTAGTAAGCTTATCGGTTGATTTTCGCCGTTTCAAGCCGTAACCTTCTCGGTCAGCAACACCGTAGTTACACCGTTCTAATTGTTCGTCGGTGGCCTTTACTCCCACCCTCCCCCTCGGACAAACATTGAAAGGTCGTAATGTGGTACTTTGGTCATCAGGATCATGCTCCTTGTTCGACCTTGCTCTCTCTGCTCCATTCACAATGATCAATTTGCAACCATATTCTTCTTATATTTTGAGCTCATATTTTAAGGATATTAAATAAGTCTGAAGTAAACTCTGAATAAATATGGCGCAGATAATTCTTAATGGAGTCACTGCATCTTGTATAATCCTTCCTTGAGCCAACAAAGGTAACTTTTTGGAGGACATAAGCAGATCTTCAAGTTAGAACTCACCGAAAACCTTTTTACCAAGTATCTCTTTCCCAGAGGGAAGCCACGATTCAATCCGCATTCACTATCTTACCATGAAAACC